AGATGTTTAAAGATAAATTTGCTTTTTTAAACACACAGTTGCTTGCATATATTTATCATCATTCATAGGAAATTATGGCAAAACATCTATTTTTTAAAGGTCTTTCTATAATGTACACAGTAAATCTGACCTCATAGAATGAGAAATGCCTGAGAACATGAGAAATGCTAGCATCACATGACAGTCAAATCTTTTGTTGAGAAATTTCCTGAAAACAAGTTTCTGAGCTCCTCCCCAGAAATCACAAGCTCTGTACAGAGATCAGCCTTTTGGTCTCTCGCACTGGGCTCTTCCTTCTCCTCTTTCTTCCAGAGGATGGGAACAGGACAGGATCCATGATCAGTGAGAGCTTCTGAAATAAGTTCTGCTCAAGCATCTCACTGTTGATCCAACCAGCTCTCCCATTTGTAACTACAGAAATATTTAAGGGCATTTTAACCCCGGAATAGGGAATTGTTGATGCGCTAGCTCTCAATATCCAGAGACCTGCTGCCTGGCTGAGATGACATATTTCGAAGTGAAGTGAGGCTGGGACAGAAGTATGGTCTCCCTGTGATCATGGTTAGTGAATAACAGCAGCCGTCTTCCTGGGCTCCTCTGTCAGGAACCACAGTCCCCAGCATACCTCATGCTCTGGTGGCATCTCTGAGGGCTATAACAATGTCTGAGCAATTTTCATTAATTTTCAGCTGACTCATTTTTCCAATTTAAGTCATTTAATCCTCACAACTTAAGGAAGCATGTAATGTTATTTCCCTTTTACAGATGAAAAAAAAAAAACAGGTAGAGAGGTGAAGCAACTTGCTAACATTTACAAGGCTGATTAATGCTAGAGACAAGACGAGAAATCAAGCCTTTTTGACCCAAAGCTCTTAATCTCTGATTTCAAAGCATCTAACTATTTCTGAGTCTCTTAGAATCTCATTATGTTCATGGTATGGATGCTTCTTAAATCACTGGTAATTTCCTATAACAGCTGCTTCGTCTTCAGAATCTTTTCAACATACAATATTGAATTTAAATTTGTAAGGCCAGGAACTGTGTTCTTCTTTTTCACTACTGTATCCCTACGGGTAGTACACCACTTTATATATATTCAAAACTAAAATGTTTTTTTTAAATGAACAATCCAGTAATGTATCTGAATTATTAGATTTCTAAGAAAACACAACAGCATTCTGAGCGTCAGACATATATATTTAAGACTGGACACCAGAAAAATGGCATATCTGAGTCCATTATTGGTTAGGAACAATAGGGATTTAACCTTGCAGTTTTCCACAAAGCATCCCTGAAAAGCTGCCTTAATTAAATGACTTTGTGATAAACAAAGGTAATCTTGCAATGGATTGTTAAACTGTGGAAGTCAACAGAAGTCAATTCATTTTGAGGAATATCAAATGGATGTCAATTTTAAGGACAGGTTAATAAAAACTGTTCTAGAGTGTGTGTCTCTTCTCTATAATACATTACGGCATATTGGCGGTTTAGAAAGAGACCTCCATGCACGAACTGCCTTATTTTTCCTATAACCCAATTAGCCAATAATTTCTGCTCCTCCTTCTGTATCACACCTCCATGCTCTTAATGGAACTGGATCTATCAAACAATATAGGAAGGATTTTTTTGGATAAATCTGCTGAAACTATCAACAAAGTACAATTACTAGAGCCATCTGCTGAGATGTAAAAACAACTTCACATAAACCCAGATGCTATGATGATCAATAAAAATGAACATTGCCTCCGGTACAGTCCACTGCACAGATCCTAGAGCTAACAGTAAGTTTTCCACTTATTTTGTCAAAAAATTAGTTTGAATAAAGGGTTAACAAAACCTTTTCTCGGACTTCCCTGGTGGCGCAGTGGTTAAGAATCCACCTGCCACTGCAGGGGACACGGGTTCGAGCCCTGGTCTGGGAAGATCCCACATGCCGCGGAGCGGCTGGGCCCGTGAGCCATGGCCGCTGAGCCTGCGCGTCCAGAGCCTGTGCTCCGCAACGGGAGAGGCCACAACAGTGAGAGGCCCGCATACCGCAAAAAAAAAAAAAAAGTACATCCTATGAGGAAAATTTATGAAATGTGTTGCCAGAAGAGATGGCTTATTTGCCAGGTTCTTTTGCATGCTGCAATGCACCTGCTGATAACATCTTAGTATCATAAACAATAAAGAGAAATTTGAGTTTAATGTACTCCAAGTGAAATCAATGTTTATACTAATTAAAAAGGCTGTTTACAGGGAAAGAACATTAGACCTGTAGAGCATAGAAGCTCGGTCAACCAATATCCTTCATCTGCCATTCTTCTTCTACATTATTACTCTGTTTCTAATCTTATGCCTACGTCTTAAATAAGTACCTGACTTATTCTCATTTCTCAATTCTACCTTTGCCAAGTTATCACACCAGCTCTCACATATCAAATGTCTCTAAAGCCCATCTATCTATGGCTTCGACCACCCCAGTAACTGCTAACTACTCGCTAGTAGAGGATCTGATGCATGAGCTCTTGTGATGATCTCTCATAAAAAGCAAACCTCACTTACTAATAAATCCAATGGACTTTTCCCAATCCACACTGCAACACCGTACCCCTAAGTAGCACCAAACCTGGAATCTTCCTCAGCTTCCAGTATAATCAAATCCCTGTGTTTCTCGCTCTGACCCATCCCTAAATGTTGGCATTTTCCAAGGCCCTGTGTATTTACCTTTCTTTCCCTCAGGGATTTCATTCTTTCTCATGGCTCCAACCATCATACTTGTTTATGAATTATTCCCATTCTCCATGTCTACTCCATCGATAATCTCAATTTATCTGTTCCTTGAGTACCTGATGCTTCGTTAACAACACAGACTTACCCAAAACTAAACAAATCCTCCTCATCTGATGTTTTACATGCTTTATGTTAATTATGAACAAAAAAGCATGATGTGTAAACAAATATATTTTTTAAAAAACAATTGATTCTAGGGCTACATATAAAATAACATGCAAAGTAAATTTAACTATGTTACAATATCAATAATAGGTACATTATTATAACATGCACAGGTCTTATATCCGAATGAAAAAATATCAACCTTAAAAACAATTTTTGTGCTTTTTATTTAGATGAAGTGGTTAGAGGTGCCATCTGATATTAGTGAGCACTTCTCAAGAAATAATCTATTAAAAACATGACTAGGGGCTTCCCTGGTGGCACAGTGGTTGAGAGTCCGCCTGCCGATGCAGGGGAAACGGGTTCGTGCCCCGGTCCGGGAAGATCCCACATGCCGCTCCGCGGCTGGGCCCGTGAGCCATGGCCGCTAAGCCTGCGCGTCCGGAGCCTGTGCTCCGCAACGGGAGAGGCAACAACGGTGAAAGACCCGCGTACAAAAAAAAAAAAAAAAAAAAAAAAAGACTAATTTTTATTTTAATATATAGACAAAGTAAATCTAATTATGATTGTTTTCTTTTTAAAAGAATGGTTCTGAAATATTAGTAGTATCTTTTTATACTCTATAAGTACTTTGAGCAAATGAATGAAAAGAAATCTGATGGTGCTCATCTTGAGAATTTTATAGTCATTAACTTGTTTTGTTCACCTTTATTGCTCCATATGCTTCCTATCTTTAAATATCAGCCCATATAAGTATACAGTAACCCATTTAAGGCTAAAAATATAAACAATTTATAGCTGTGAAGCTGTCAGAACCACCATGTTGGTTACGGTGTGAGCTGAGTGACCAGTCAACTGAGTGAGTGATGAACATGTGCGTCTGACCTCCTTTAATCACCTTATGTGCTCCCTCATATATGTACTTGGAGGATCGCAAATGGTTCCATTTCTAAGGAAAAATATTTAAATAACTGTTCAATAAGCTGAGGCTTAAAAAAAAAGAGAGATCAATACCAAACGTATGCTCACCTTCAATCATATGAGTCCTCAGAACACAACTACACGTCCCCCAAGGGAGTTCTCAAACCCAGCCCAGACCACAAAATGGTCCCAGGGTTGGTTTCCCAGCCTCATCAGATTCCATTGCATCTTATCCTACTATTTCAAGATTAAAGACAACGCCACCAATACTTGCAGACACCTGCTATCTGAATCATAGTGCTCAGACACTATAGACTATTTAAAACTTATAAATATGCAGTCCTATTCTTAAGTAGCTCATGATCTACTCAGTAGCCCTTGGTCTACTCAGGGATCATGGGCATATGTAACTGTATATGTCTAACATAAATTTAATTATAGAGGGGCCAAGGAAAATTAGAGAAAGATCACACTGTCCTTACACAGAGCAAAAGAAAAAGAAAACCTTAACTATGTGTCCTTCACAACATAATTTTAGTAATCTCTGGATTTCATTATGCTTGAATACTTAAAGAAACCATGGGGAAATTTTTGCCAATTTTTTAAAAACAGGACAAAGTACAACTCTAGGGTTAAGAATTTCTCTTACTTTCCATCAAACAGTTGTCTATGCCACTTATTCATTTAGCAATATTTTACCCAAAAATTTAAAATAAATAAAGATTAACAACTTAGATATATCAAGAACTAAAGCTCAAACTATGGAATGGATACATTTAATTATGACTGCCCCAATAATACTAGCAGAGTAAACTGAACAAATATGTTACTCTTTCAATCGCAGATAAAATTATACTTTAATGAAGGCTGGAACTGTCTCGCAAAAAAAAAAAGTAAATGCTAATTATTCTCATTATTTTTTAAATGCAGAAGTTTATATCGTATTGCACAGTATATATTCATTTACTGATTCTGCCAACAGTAAAAGGTCTTTGAAAACTACAAAAGATGTTTTACCTATACATGAATTAAATATGACTTCCCCCAAAAACAATCTGACTAAAGAGTAACCAATTATAAATACAATTTTAAGAAGTCATAAACGTACTATTATTTTAAAGGCCTTTATATCCATCTCGATTGATAATTTTAGGAACATCTTGTTTAAAAATAAAAACTGCTCGTACATTAAAGAAACATACCGACAAGTGACAAAACCATGTGCAGGTTCAAGGGAAGACTAAAAAGTGGAAAGCAAATTCATGTGTCACGCCTAACGTCTGCATCACAAGGGCAGAACGGTATCCTCTGGGGGAATTCACAGCTTCCAATCACATTTCAAGTAACAGAGAAAGCAGATTCAGCCCTCCTGCATCAATGGATCTCCTTTTCTGCTAAGCACTGGAAAGTTAAGAAACCATGCCAGCTGCACAGCTGAAATGAAAACACAAACAGCCACTATCAGTGTGCTGGAGACACCACAGGATGAATTATCTAGTTCCCTAATGGTTACCCACGTGTCATCAATAATGAAAAAGTGTGTATTAATAGTCCTATGGGACAAATCAACAGTAACTGCCTATGGAGATGCTGGATTTAAACTGGGATTTCAATTGGCTTGAGCGGACATCTGGAACATTATACCAGGCAGCAACTTAGTAGCATTTTTGTGCTTTCCCTTTCGCCTGAAGCAAAGAAGACTTCATAAATCTAGTCAACTCTGAGAGAACAAAGATAACAGATTCTTGTCACTGTCTAAGTCAATCACAATTTATTCTGAGATTATAAATATCAAAGAAAGAAAAGGGTTAAAAAATTAGATCCACAAGGCTAAAAATGCAAACAGTGATGTAAGAATTAAAACTGATAATGAAATTCAGGACGTTTCCAACTTACGACGGGATAGTGTTCTAAATACTATTAACTAAATGGGTGAAACTTGGAATTTATTTTCTTATAAAATCAGTGTTACAGAAGAAGTAAGATTCTCAGGCTAGCTCATAAATGCACACAGTTCACACCCTGGATATACTACAGCTTTGCAATTCCAGTACAATATACTGCTGCAGGAGTTGAGACTTATACGAAACAGCAACGTAAAATGTAATAATTTATTATGCAGTCTATCACTTGAGGGGGAAAAAATCTTAAATAGAAAAACTAGAACCCTTTTTTTTTTTTTTTAGGTCTGTTCTCAAAAGAGTATATAAGGGCCTCAAACATTCCTGAGGTGACTAACCGATAATTAGAAAGATTTTAGAATCTCTGAGTAACAACCGAGTTCTAAATTAAAGAAAAACAGAGAAACAAAAGTAGATTTTCCTGAGGTAAGCGACCAGAGAGAAGAGATCCCAGAAAAAGGTTAGGTTGGATTGTTTCCTGTACCCACTTCTAAAGTCACAATGTTGACCCAGGACAACTTGGTTAGTAAATGCTCTCGTTCAGGCCTGAGGTGTGGCTGAGAAGCCAGGAGGCTTGCCAAGGTCCGTATGTACAGATATTCATAAGCTGGCTCACTTTCATCATTCCAAAGGACCTATCAATGGCAAGCAGCGTCGTGCTGTGGGAACGAGGGTGTTTTCAGGCTCTGTACGTTGACAGCTGGGTGGCTTTTGCCAACTCCCTTAAGCTTTCTAAATATATGTCTCCTGGTGTGTAAAAAGGGGGTCAAACACGTAATTGAAACACAGCCGCGATCAACTGTAACACAGTATGTTAGTACACGCAGCTACTTGTACAAGACAAAAGTTAAAGCATTTTATTATCTACTAGAGCAGAGTAAGTACAACTAGAAGGTCTGCTAGACCTGGATGAAATAATGGTAGGACTCACTGGAGATTACCTGAGTAGGTGCACACAGGAAGGAGTTAGGGCGCTGCCTTATTTTTTCCTGTCAAAACCCAGCTCAGGTAGCAGCTCCTTCAGAAAGCCTTCCCTGGTCCTCTACTCCCTACTGCCAACCATTTCACATCCTGTAGTTTGTACAAATTCATGTGGTGGCACTCCCTGCCGTAGTGTAATTCATCTGCTTTACAGAGACTGTGAGTTCCTTGATGACAGTGACATCATCTTATGCAAATCCGTATTTTCAGTCGACAGAGCAATGCCTGGCACACAGTAAGTCTCTATTAACACCTACTGAATTGAGCCGTCTAGGACGTAAGCAGGACAATTATGACATACCACTAGATGGTCAACCACGAGTTCTTAGCTCGTGGAATAAAACTTAACCTCTCAGCAAAAGATACGAGATTAACCCACGCTTGCGCACAAGTTCTTAACGCGTGCCGAAAGATACCAGGAGAGGATCCATGAAAAGCCAAGCATCAAAACTTAAAGCCCACATCTTCTTGTGCCTTTCTATGCAGTAAGTGCAACATGGTGAACCTAAGTCAAAGAGCTATCGAATAAAAGACTTTGTTTGGGGTTCTGATACCTTGGGCAATAAGTCTCGTAATGCATTTTGCACAAAACACATGTTGACAAGACTCTACAGCAAAACTGACTTAATTCTATGGGGTGCTCCCGCCCCGTTTCATAAACACCCCAAAGTTCCTGCCATGGAATTCGCAGGTCTAAACCTGTTCTTGACCTGAGTGGGCCAGGACTACTCCATGTCTCACACCTGGCAGCTGGGATTTTCGCTGCACGTTTCCTGTGTGCGGGGGAGGGCTGGGCTGGGGATGGATGGTGTCCACGCGCCGGTTTGTACACGTTACTGGAAACAGCGGATTCTAAGACACCTTCTAGGACAGCGTCCCGGCGCCGCACTGGACGGCGGTCGGGAATCGGCGCGCCTCGGTTCCCGCAGCGGCGTCTGTTTGGGCTTCTCCCCCCTCGGCCGGCGAGGCTGCGGAGAGGGCTCCGTCCGGTCCCGCACGGCCCTGGGCGCGCAGCCCCGCGCTCCCGGGAGGCCCCCGCCGGCCGCCCCCCGCGGCCCCGGGACACGGCGGCCCCGCGGCCCGCACCGCACTTACTTAGACCTGCTCGCAGGCTGCGCAGTCGGCCGCGGACTCGGAACCCGGCGCCGCGGAGAAGCGTCCCCCCGCGCCGCTTCCGTCGCTCCTCATCGTCCTCCTCCAGCCGAGGGACCGCCGCCGTCGCCACAGTGTAGCCCGGAGCTCCTGCGGCGCCGCTCTCGGCTCCTCCACTTCCGGCCCACGCTCTGTGTAGCCGGCAAATACTCCCGCCGGCTCCCACATCACCTGCTCTCGCCTTCCTCCCGGGAGTGGGAAGCGGGCCCGCCCTCCCGGGCATGCGCAGAGACCGCGGCCGGAGGAGTTTCCCCACCCGCGACGGCGGCCCGGACGGACAAGATACCGCGGGAACGGGCCGCCGGCACGCGCATGCTCGCGATGGGCCGGATACCCAGCGGCGGGTTGTCCGGTAGCCTCTCTTCCCTCCGATCACCCGGAGGCCTCTCGCCCCGCCTCCGAGGCCTCCGGGGTGAGAGCTCGGAGCCTGCCGGATCTGCCTGTAGGACGCATGTCTTCCCGAAGAAGCGGTGTGTGCCCCAGTCGGTTGTTAAGGATATAGGAGTGAGTTCCGGCACTTAAATCGCTTCCTTAACTTCGTTTCTCTTTTTGTCTTCTCCCAACCCAGACCGCTCCTACCTTTGTCAGAGTGGACCGTCACGGGCGGATGCATGGTTTATGAGGCCCGAAACTTGTACCATTTAGACGGCCCTTGTAAAGAAAAAGAATGGAACATTACCTTACTTTTGAAAATTTTACAGAAGCACAAGACCGTGAAGACATTGCTAGGGCCCCTCCCAGGGCCTTGGAAGTGACCATACAAATGGGCCCCTGAAGCTGGATAGTCATTACCTTCACTGATAACCGCCTTGCGCACCAAATTGTACTCAATTGTTTGTTTATCGATGTCTAACCCCACCCCCGTCATTCCCTATTCTCTGTACCCTGTATTATATATACAGAGGATATGTAACAATGTTTTTTAAAGCTTGTAATCTGCTACCAAATTGAGAGCTCCAGGTCAGAGAGGCTCTTGATAATAATTCCTATTTTTATCAGAAATTGTTATCAGGTGGTGTATCATCTGATAAGCACCACCCACCATGGTAGACCGACCACTTACACAAATAAACTAATAATCAAAGCAACTCTAGACGATACTCAATGAAAAACTCGAATCTCTGTGAACCAAGCATCAGAAGGCTAAAATAACATGGTAACTTGGAGATGGGGATTTGAAACAACTTGGAGTTTGTCTAGTTTCCTTGTTCCCTTCTTATATCACTAATACAAAGTGCAATCTCCGACATTATACAAGCTCAGTAGATGTTGAACAGGGTACAAAAATGTACACAAATGCCTTCGCAAAAGATGGGCACGTGGAGGGTCCTCTAACTTAACACTGTTGGGTGCTCCTCCAAAGTGAATTGATAAGTTGACTAGTAGGTGGAAAAATTACCCACAAAACAGTACCATGTGACTTTACGACTCAAGTGATTTTAGAAAAGTAGTCAGATAACATAGCTGATGTGACATATAGTTGTTGTTGAGCTAGAAGGAGCCCTAAGTGTAGCTTTACTACAAATTAGTACTGTGGATTAAATGTGTGTCAGTTTGCAAAAAGAGGCTTTTGTACATTAGACAACTCCTAAGGGCACTTAAAAGCTCCAAAATGTATTCTCAGAGCCTGTTGTAGCAAAATTTCACTTTCATTTTAAAGCAATAATATTTTATGCTAAAATGAAGTAATTCTAAAAGTTGTCTCCTCCTACAGTTTATGAATAATTTCTCAATTCTCCATGGTGGAAGAGGACAAACCATAGCAAGATACTGGTAGAAAGCCACAGCTCCTGGAAAGCCACACAAAAGGATTCGGGTTGTTTTCATTTCTCAATCCTCTGTATGTAGCACAATTTACAATATCATAGTAGGTGCTCAGGAGAGATTTGTGGAACAGTTTTATTTTGAATCCTTGAATAGAAATTAGGAGTCCATTGTTGATTTCTGAGTATGCAACTGTTTGTATTATGAATTATGTATTATTGTGAATTATGTATTATTTCTGTGTTAGGAGACGAGCTGACATCACAGTTGCACCATCATGAAAAACAAATAGGAAAGAACTGCCTTAGACAATTTTGCAAAAGCATATTTTTCCACCTAAATGAAACCGCAGACGATTTGGGAGGGAAGATGCCCTCCTCTCCCCCGGGTGCTTTCACAACCACGGAAATGAGTGATGGTACCACTCTTTACACATAGGGAGCAGAACTCTGAGAGGCTGTCACTTGCTAAGAGTAGCCTAAGCAGAGAGGCTCAGGCTCAAAGTCCCAGTAAGGAGCCAGTGGACAAAGTATTTGGGGGTCTCCCTCAGCGACGAAATCCACTCTCGTGGGCCAACCGTTTGCAAAGAGCACCTGCTGCTGAGGCCAACCGGAAATGTGTTGGTAACCACACTGTAAACCCCGTTCCCTCTGGGCCTCTGCAGCCCAGTAAGGTGGGCGGTCCTCCCAGTGCCTCCGGAAAGGTACGGCGCCTGCGCACATCATCTCCCTGACGTCACAGCCTCTGGGCCCGCAGGTGGCGACGGCGCTCGCGTACATCGGCAGCGTGAAGTGAGGGCCGCTCCGTCCGCAGGAAGCGATTGCGCCTGCGCAGGGAGCAGCTGGCGGAACCGGCCCTCGGGGCTCCCGCTTCCGGTTTGGCGGCGGCGGCGGCGGCTTCAGGCCTGGTTGGCGGTTTGTGTGACGGCCCGGGAGGGGCCTCGGATTCCACGGAGGATCCAGAGGTGGAGTCTGGGCAGGCGGAGGCTGGGTAGGTGTGGCCGAACAGGAGGGGGCCGTGTAGCGTCTTCTTAGTCCAGGAAATGTTACAGTCTTAAGAGTTCAGGTTTCTTCTTCGTCCTTCGGTTCATCCTCATCGGGTCCCCGGGTGAGGGGCACCGACACCCTGGCGACCCGCGGCGTTAGAAACCCGGTCCCGGGTGCGGGCTCTTGCTCTGGACCCCCCCCTCCTGGGACGTGGGGCGAGGGGACTGTAGTGTCCCCCGCCTTTGATGCTCAGGAGCCGTGTTGGCTGCTTGAATGGCCTGATTCCGGCGCCCGCCCCGCCAGCCGGAGACCCCTGGACTCAGAGGTAACGGTTTGCCCAGGGCCAGGGCTCCCCCGGCATCCGCTGATGAGGGTAGTGTGGACCGTCCAGTGATTTTGCGGAGAGGGAATATGCTTGTTTCTCTTCTTACACCTTGTCTTTCACTAACTTCCTGCCTCCCACAGCTTTCTGGCTTTTTCTCACCACTAATTTCTTTCTCCTGAGGTTCTCCCAGAATATCACAAAGTGCTGTGGAAGGTGGGCTCCTGTCAACCCTTCTGTCTTGTCGAGGGTTGCACGAAGGAAACTTCACCTGTGCCATTCCTTTCTCTCCAGTAGAAGAGCATTGAATCATCTCCCATATTCACCGAATAAAACCTTGCTAGTGTGTCTTGTTGTATATAGGCAGCAGCTGAATAGATGATGAGTCATTATTGCACCAATTATTTGTATATATTCTCTTGAAAGCTTTGCTTATCCTTGTCAAAATGAATCGTCCCCCTCTCTTCTTACCAGCTTAGTATTTTGTAATATTCATGTGTTCAGTGTCTTTTGGGTCAACAAGCATTATAGTACTAAAATCGATCAGGGGCTTCCTAAATGCCAGGTGCAGTGTTAAGCATCTTATGTGAGTTGTCAGGCATCATCCTAATTTCTACATAGTTATCAACCCCACTTAACACTTAAGGAAACTGAAACTCAGAGAAATTAAGTAGCTGCCCCATATCACACAGCTATGAAGTGTTAGACTCCACATTTAAACTCAGATTTATTGGACTCCAGAGCCTGAGCCCTACCCACAAACTTCTTTGTATTGCTTTTTCACAAATCAAAAGCATCAGCCAAAGTCCTCAGAATCCAGAAAATAAAATGAAAAGAGTATGTAAAAAGCAGTGGAAATGGTAATATTTGACTCTTTTGTACTATTTTAATAAGTAAAAATATTTGAAGTCTATTCATTTTATGCTAATTTTGGAATCCTTGTTATCTATGGAGCAGTTTTACCATGCATACATATTTACATCATTACATGGATTTCAACATTAGTATAAAGTAATTTGAGCCTTTGCCTGAGACTTGTTCAGGGAAACTTGGACTTTGAGACTGTAATAGAATCTACAGATAAATCAGAAACCCTATACCAATCTTGAACATTCGAAGAAGTATTTCTTAACATACTTCGTTTGGTATATATTATATATGAATTGTAAGCAGGGCATTATATACTGTAATGCGCTGGGTTGAGGGAGCATGTTTTGAGAGATGAGAGAGTGAACAGACCTAACCAGGTGGTGCAGTCAGTTATTCAAATGAGACACAGCAAGAGGAAGCAGTTCCTGTATTCAGAGATAAAAGACTCAGGATTGTGGTCTCTCCTGGGTTTATCTCGGCCTAATGGACTCTGTAGAAATTGGATTTCCTTTGTCAGGAATTAGACTGAGAGGTGAGGTTTTTTGCCCCATAGGCCCCCAAATGGATTTTGTTAACCTTCCCCAGAGTAGTCGTAGCTGCTGGGTGTTTTTAACCAAACTACCCCATCACTCGTGTGTATGTGTGTGTGTGTGTGTGTGTGTGTGTGTGTGTGTGTGTGAGAGAGAGATCAGCTCCTGGCCTTCCCTAGTGTGCTTTTCCAGGAACTCAACTGTAGGTTTCAGTAATTCATTCAACAAACCAACCTACTATGCGCCAGGAGCTAGTGGCACAGATTACAACATGATTTCTAACCTCCAGAGACTGACAGTTTAGTTAACGTGGTGTTGTAGTTAACCATGTGATTTCTCCTGCTAGATAGTGTAGCCCTCGTGCTGGTAATACTGTGTGATTCTCTTTTGTTTGCTGGGGCCGGGAATTTCATGGACTCTGCACCACAAGAGACCTCCCCACTCCCCAGAAGCTGCTCTGACTCCCTGCCCTCTGGGCTACATGCGGATATGCCAGGAGGTATCTGAAACCACAAGATAAAACATGGCTTAAATTCCTAGAGTACACATTTTACTTGAATCTTTTTTTGGAAAAGTTAGTATAT